TAAACACTGTATAACCTCAACCTTGTCATATTTTAAAGGTCAGTATTGAAACTTTTACTTATTTTATATTTTTATCAAATATTTAGCATTCTTAGTTATGAATTCAGTTTTATTCTATATTAACAGTTAGAATTATCATTTATCAATTATAGTTAGGATACATATTTATTGTAAAAGATTAATTATTAGTCATCACATTATTAGGTATAAATTCCTTTAAAAAGTTAAGCTAACTAAGTCAGGGAATAAATATCGTACTTCGTCGCATTATTATTAAAGTTAATTATACTGTTCTATTCCCTTCTACAATATTTTGTTCAATGTTATTTTGTTAAAATGATGTCACTTGTTAAATTGTATCAGACGCCATAACTTTTGTAATAATTGTAGCACCGGAAATGTAACCGGAAGTAAGTTTTCAATATGGCCGCCAATATTTAATGGCGGACCACTGTATTGTATCTTTAGTATAAATTTAAGTACTTGATCATTTAATTCAACATAAATATTTCATGTTTTGTACATTAATATCAATCAATAACATCTTGTAAATTAATTGATCTTTATTATGTTGTAATATACTTACTTACGCTCGGGACACGAGACAATAAACACTGTATAACCTCAACCTTGTCATATTTTAAAGATCGGGCCAACAAGGAATATCCAAAGGGCCAAGGACAAAGGTGTACTAGCGTAAGGCAATCCAGAGCTAATTCCCTGGCGGCTGAAAGCTCGCCGTAATACGATCCAATAACACAGTTTATTTAAGAAATTATTATTGTACAGGATGAAAATAATGTTATTTTGATTCAATCGAAGCTTATAAATAGTTCTTCCTTTGCAAATATGAACAACAGAAGTTCATTTTTACGTTATTTTTTTCTGTCATTGCAATAGTTTTTTGCAATTTTTGCAACAAAAAATTCCGACATCAAAGTTGCAGCTCATATTGCTTTTAAACTGAGGTTTGGTTTGAACATATTTTATTGTTTTGTTGTTATAACAAAAGGATTGGACACAAGTTCTTAAAAACTTAGAACGTGTTTTTTAAACTGAGGTTTCAACTGATATGTCCGTTTACTCAATCATAACAATGAACACATCGCGGTTGTGGTCGAGCGATATGGGGTGTTTGCTCCTTTAGTGCACCTGATTCCAACTCTGTTGTTTTTTTTTAGAAGTCTGCTCCCAATTTCATATTTCATAAAAACACAGGAGTCTGAAGTTTTTATCATCGATCAAAAAAAAAAAAAAAAAAAAAAAAAAAGCAGGAAAAAATTTTCCCCACCCTTAAATTAAAAAAAAAGTGTTTTTAAGTAAAGGGTGGGAAAGTTTTTTTTTTTTTTTTTTTTTTTTTTTTGATTGACGATAAAAACTTCAGACTCTTGTGATACAAGAGAGATGTTTTAAAACGAAAATAATGCTCAGAATTTTCACAAAGTTGTTTTTGTGCTGCTTTTGTTCTCTGCTTCATCTCGACAGATTTTTGCAAATATGTGCTTCTTAATTGCTTTGAGTAAAATTGCACACAAAAATGTGAAGCGATGCTCCATAGGTAGCAAATATTTATAAAATATAGCAAATATTTATAAAATATAAAAAGTATACATGTATAAGAGTGTAATATAATTTTACAAATTTATTCATTTAGCCATAGTTTGCAAATCAAAAACTTATATCGGAAAATATATAATCCTTTCTTATGCTCCGTATCACTAAACTCTGCTTCATCAGTAGAATTCTAAAATACTAGATTTTTGTTTTATTTTGTCAAAAGCGCCCAGCTTCCTGTTGAATTCAAACAAGAGCGCTCTTAATTGTTCTCTAATAATATTATAACTAGGGATGTCAATTTTACTCGGACAGCTTAGTCGAATAGTCGGATGCTATAGTCGAACGATAGTCGAATATTCGTTTAATTTTAAATATTTTTTCAATTCATTCTCAGTGTTTAATTTGTCTTTACAGACTAGTTTACAATATCTAACCAACGCTATCACAATTATAAAACGAATTCCTGGATTGTAAACATGTACCTAGTACCAAAAAAACTGTACATAAATATGTATCCAATGTATTAAATTTCAAAATTAATATATTAGCTGCACATTTTATCTAAATGCAGGATATCAAACGCTCGTAATTGTCTTTTCCTTACATAATGGTAGTAAATGTACCCCACAATTGAAGCCAATTTCTACGCGTCCGTCAATGATCTTTGACAGGTAAACAATTATTAAAGCATGTCTCTTATAAAAACAAAGAGAGAGCGAGAGCTTCCAATGGGATAAATTTTAATTATAAAATTTTGTGCAAACAGTCAATGATTGTATGAAATTAGTATCAGAAAAAGAAAACAAAGTTTAATTACTCTCATAACTGACCCCAATTTACATGTATTTTCAATTTTGTAATAGCTGTTTAATTAATATTCTTTCTGAATAGTTGTACCACGTCAGATCTTAGTTTGAATCTTCCTTTTAAAACAGTAAGGGGTAGACAATCATTTAATAAACGTGATTGATTTTCTTTCCCAATCTGCTTTTTTTAACAATTATACCATACCCTTAATAATAAATGAAATTGGCAAATCTAAGATTATTACCTTAAATTCAAAATTACTTTCATGAAATTGATGAAACACATTTTTAACGAATAACCGATTAAAGAAATTTTAGTCGATAGTCGGTATGATCGAACGATAGTCGAGTACTCGAATATTCGTTGACATCCCTAGTTATAACTAATAGTATTGTCCAAAGATTGAAAAAAAATCATCTTATTTGAATGTCGAGAATTTGTTTGTTTTAATGTTACATATATATAACGTCCCTCTCGAGAATTTTTTACTCATATGAAGACACTTGAAGGTCGTGTCTTAAAGGTCAAGATAAATTTGGATAAAGATTAAGATACATGGTTAATTGGAACTACACTGTATAGTTAGTTTGAAGAAGGATATGGAGATAACGAACAGTATTCAGTCTCAAAGTCCATAAAACAATACAAAATAAGAGCAGAGCAAACACGGAACCCCGAAACATCAGAGGTGGGATCAGGTGCCATGGAGGAGTGAGCATCCCCTGCCTACCTGTCACACCCGCCGTGTGCTCCTCGTCATGATCAGGAAATTACGGAAAAAATCAGCCATCAATTCAGTGTATAAATAATGGACTAACAACTGGTATGAAAAACGTCAGTCAGCATTTGACTTAATGATAAATTGTATTTGCTGACAAGGTCATTGTATCGACCATAGAACTTACGAAATGATGACTTTAAACGAGACTGCTGGTATTCTTGTTTCATCAACTGAAGCAAATTCAAACCTGGGTATCATGCTACCAAAGACCTACATATATATTATACATGTAAATTAGACTCTAAATATTCAAAAACGTAGTTCATGATCATCTAAAGAAGAGCTCACGAAAGAAAAACTGAAGTCTTCACATTTTATTTGTTAGTTTGTCATCATTTTTATGCTACTGTAACTTCAGAAATTGAAATGGATATATCAGACTCTTTTTTATATCTTTTATTTTTTATTTAAATGAGGGTTGAATCAACCTAAGAATGGAAATGAATATTGCTAACGTGTTTAATATATATCGAATTCGCATGAGGGGTGGGATTATAGTAACTCTTGCCTTAGTGTAAACATATCAATAATATGTGCATCTACTTTATATGTTATTAGGTGTGGAATACGTTGGTTACCGATCGTTAGGCTTGTGGTTACTCTCGCATAAGCGATTTCGCAAAGCGTTTGAAACAATTTTCTATATTTGATAATCCTTACAGAACACTCCCATCCATTCCTATTTCAATTCTACAAAAAAATTAATTAAAATGCAATAATTTGTTTTATTAAAAAAACGACATTCACTCATGTTATTCTGAAATATGCCCAGAGGACTTTTCACCATAAATGCATTTTTACTTTCATTATATCAGCAGCGGTCAGTACTCGGTTAAGTACATTCCGTACTTTGATTCACATATTGCACAAATCAACATACTTGATAAGATAAAGCGTATCCTTTGATCTCTCTCGCCCACGTACATACCTTTTACGTTGCAGTGTTCTATTTTTAGTCGCTGCATGTTACAGAACACTCTTACTGATATTAATTTTGATAATGAATACCTTTTGATTTCATTCAACTTTAAATACCCTTACATTTCATTCATAAGAGCTGCCATACCCATTGAATGATTGTTTGAGGTTAAGATTTGTGGTCAAGAGATATTTTGGAATTTAAATTTGCACAATGAAAATTCGTACCGGATTACATATTCAGTGGTGGCTTAAATAAATATATAGATAATACATAAGAATGTAGATAGATTCTCTCTCTCTCTCTCTCTCTCTGCATATGAGGGTGTACGTGTGTGTTGTTTTTTGCTATTAATTAAGAATTGCATTACGTTATACTGTATATTCTATTAAATCATTTCACTGTTTGAAATAAAGTAAACCTCAAAGGACCAATTGATAAGTAAAGGATTCTTATGTGTTCAGTTTTAATTTGTTATTCGTGTGAAAGAGTTAATAATTGAAAGGCATCGTATTATAATCTCATGATAAATTATATTAAAACGCAGTTATCATATATATAAACAAAAAATCTGTTGTTTCTTTTTTTAATTCAACGAACAACAGCTCCAGACGAATATACGAAATGGAGCGAGTGGTGAAACTATGGTGTAAAAATTTGTAAACAAAATCCAACTAACAATTGATGTCTTATTTAGAATAGGAAAAATTTTACCGCGTTTAGTAAAAATGTGATTACGTATTACTCGGGAAAAATATATAAAAAATGTTGTTGTCTTAAGTTTTTACGCAGTTTATAAAGACATACCTTAATATGCTTAGTCAGAAATATGTTGTTGATTACATGTACAATCATTATTCTTTATGCACATTGATCATTTTATACATCGCGTGATCACTACTTTATATATCTAAATTCGCAGTTGAAAAAAATTATTTATGAAATGAGCGATGTACAGTTGTACATCGATGTTTTTGGAAACCTTGTTTATGTGTTTATTTATTTTCGTTGATTTCACGCCTGACTGAATATTTCATATATTTACCTAACATGTGAAAAAGAATCTTTTTACAACCTTTTTTTCTCACGCATGTATGACAGAATTTTAAATTCAGTACGTCAGCGTTTATAAAAAGGTGGTAAAAACTTTAAGATTTAAAAAGAAATTGGGAAAGTGTACAATAGATCTTGGCAAAAATATACACAGGCTGAGCTAATTGGATTTGGGAATTATATCCACGACGAGAGGTTTGTGTGAATATTGTAGCTGGTATTTACGAAACACATTACCGGCCGATCGTTCAGAGAGAAATATACAGTGTACACATATACACATACAGTTTGAAGTTTACCTGACGTAGGTAGATATATACATACCTATAGGTAAACGGTGTGTTAAATATTTGCTATCGTTGCGGATCACTGTGTATTTGAAATGTGAGGGATTTGGTAGCCTTCGTATAAACTTTGAAGGGAGATATATGTGAGAATTGAAAATAAATGTATATTTAGATAAATATGGAGGAATTATGGTGAACGTTACACGTAACATGGACCCCTTGGGAACTCGCTACCTGGTGGTGGATTACTTGAACTACCGCTTATCAAAGAACGGTCACACCTGGACACATTGCCCGTCCCTCTTGGATCCTCCCCTCAAAATTCACACCACCATGAGAGAGAAGGGGGACGAATTTGAGGATCTCTACCGAGTCCAGTTTCAGGAACTAGTGGACCAGTTACACGTCACTCACGACACCTGTTACCCCATGTTTAAGGCAGTCGTGGAGGAACTTTTTCAGGGAGGGATCAATTGGGGGCGTATAGTGGCCCTTTTCGCCTTCAGTGGTTCCCTCTCTACTCGTTGTGTGGAGAAAGGGATGGCGAGTTTAGTGGAACTTATTGTGGAATGGATGACGCAGTTCATTGAACAAGATTTAAGTCAGTGGATTGATCAACACGGGGGATGGGTAGGTATTAGTATACTAGAAATGCATGGGGGCTCAAATTTGGGACCCTTTGCACGTTTGATATTTAAACTTAAAGAAATCACCCAATTCAGTTCTTTCAAATTTTACCAACTTAAGAGCTAATCGTAGGCGTTTCAATTACTTTTTTAAAAATCCATTTAGAATAAATAAATCAATTGCATGTTACTTCAATGGGGGGAAATGAAATTGTGGTCAATCACTAAAACGGATAGATCAATATCTTCTAAAATTTTAAATTTAAAGTCAGCAAATCAAAATCTGATTTCAAAACTTCAAGCTCTGCAGAGGGTTTTCGTATTAATTTAACTAAGTACATACATGTACGTACTTAAAACCCGTAGAGTTTTCTCGGTCACTTATCAGTTATACAGGATAAAATTACTGTCGCATAAAATTTGATCCATTTTTTGTCTGATCATGTTTTTATCTATATAACACATTACGGAAAAGTCAATCTAACAAACCTCAAATTAGTTATTTATACATGTATGATGCATGTAGAGATTCAAAACTGTGAGTTTTTTTTAATATCCTTTTTAAAAAAAATGTTTTTATAATTATGTTCAGGTGAACTAGGAAGTGGGAAATACTAGTACAACAAAATAATTGTTTAAGTGATGTAAATGTCTACATTTATATAATGGAGACTGTATTCATTGTTCTGCAGCTATTGTCTATATATATAGAATATCAAAACTTATTTTGATTTACAACTCTTTTCAGAAAATATCTGATAAGTTTCCTCAACTTAAGGAAATACCGTGTTTTACTACTTTATTGGATTGTGTGTGCATACCTATAAATTTGAATCTCGTATAGATAAAAATATATACCCCAGTTAAAACCTTAGATCCGCCTTTAGGAGGATAACGACCCATTTGTTTATAAAATCGTCATAAAGGTTAAAAGACCTTAAATTCCGAGGTCTTTGTCCCATTTAGGGAGGAAGAATTTGTAGAACCTTTAATCATTTCTGTCTCTGATGTAATTAAGTCTACTATAGTATAAAGGTGTTTATTGGCTCTCGTGAGAAAAGATGTACAAACGCTGCCAAAATTCCTTCTGAAAACTTTAGGATGAATGGCAGTCGATTCGAAGAATTTGGCCAAGCATGAACCTTTCAAGTAAAAATTCAAATTTTATAAAACTGATTGGATTTTCCGATATACTCTCTGTGCTTTTTTAATTTATAAACCCCGAGTCTAGCTAGCAGAATCCGACCAAGTCAAAAATATGAATGCACCCTTTCACCAATTAACGCGTTTTGATTCAATTGACTGCATGAATATCAGTAAAAACATTTTCTTCTAAAACTACCATACGTACGTATATATACCTTAATCTGTAATGTTTTCACATATTCTACAAAAAAGTCAGGTCTCTCTCTCTCTTTCTCTCCCTCTCTCCAAACCTGTCACCTTAAAATTCCTACTGCTTTGAAAACTTTGATAAATACCTTTTGTTTTGGGGGAGGGGGGTTATGTCCATCAATACATGCTCAGTATGTGTAGAGAAAGTGTATTGACATAACACGATGGATAAAGAATAACTTAACATGCATGGATGGATGCATTAACAGTAGGGACCTATATCATGTATATAGGTCCTTATTAACATGTTTACACTGTACCTATATGTTAAACTAAGTTAAGTTTCAAAATGTGCTTTCTTTTGCAAAATTAGCATTCGGAAAATACATTTGAATATAAAATGTACAGTGAATTACGTAACAGCATAAAAAAATTAACTGGGTTTCACTGAGTTTCATTTTTGCTAGGCACTATTGTGCAAGGAAGTATACCACGTGTATCTATTTACATGGTACAATCCCATAAAATCTATTTTAAGAATAGCCAATTAAAATGCCTCCTTTCACTGACGTAACCTTTGACCTAAATTTTCGTGAATGCAGATAAATAATTTAAATACCTACAGTAAAGCATACCATTTATCGATGTCATGGAACAATGCACTACAAAAAATGGAATGTATGAGAATTTATAGCATGCAAAAGTTTCACAGAAAATAATGGAAAATTATTGATTTTGCGTTTCGTGTCGAGAAACGATTTTCATTGGTATAAGGGGCTCATTCAATATTTGCATCTGGAACGTCGTGGTATATTTACGTACAGGAAAACGGATTTATGCCTTGTACTGTGGGAAATTCTTGTTAATTTTAGATGTTCCTTGATCTGCTATATTTAAGAGAAATGTATGTTTCGGAGTGATTCTAAAAAAATAGAATTATCTGTGAGAGAAATGGGCGAGGAGGATTACAAAAGTCTGGTCGCCGACTATGTGAATTACCGGTTGGGCAAATATGGTTTTGAGTGGGAAAATGCGCCGTCCCAGACGAACAATAACAAAGTTTACAAAACTGTCAGAAAACTGGGGGACGAGTTTGAAAACAAACAAGATTCAAGTGACTTACATCAGATGGTGACAAGCCTTCAAATTACCCCCGAAACGGCATACTCGACTTTTACTACCGTCACGGAGGAGATGTTTTCTAACGGCATAAACTGGGGGAGGGTGGTAGCTCTGATAGGATTTGGCGGGGCTCTATCTGTTGAATGTGTTTCAAGAAATATGCCACAACTCGTGGACTCAATAGTTGACTGGGTAGCCACATATATGAACAATAACTTGAAAGACTGGATATCAAAAAATGGTGGTTGGGTAAGTGTGTTATCCGCTATCAGCATGTGTGGGGGGGATCCATTGTCTATTGTGTTGTGAACCGTTAAACAAAGGGGGGACCAAACACCTGGCTTTATTGGTCACGGTTGACTTGATCAAGATGTCAATATTAGGTTTCATGGTGTTTATGTGTATCTGGTTTATTGAGGAAGGTAATATAAACATCCTAGTATGTTGTATACTGTACTTGTAATTCATGAATGAGGATCAGAATTACTAATATACACTCGTAATTCTGTGTCGCATCACCATAACTGAGCCACCGTATAATTTATTCAACACAAAGTGTGAAAGTCACAATTTGAAGAACCTGAACGTATCATACATGTAAATTGCATGCTTCAGATACCAAATCATTGATCATAATATGTATGTAAAAGTTATCAATTAATTAGCGTTCTTTGGCTTTATAGTCACAAATAACGTTAAAGTACTGTGCTTCCAGCAAAATAGGTACATTGCATCACATTGCATTGTAGAAAAATCCTACCTACATGAGCATTAAGTGATTTACATGCGCATAATCTACAAATTAACATGGACGGACTGATCATGATGATGCATAAACATGTTTGTAAAGTGATGATTTAATAGTGCAGTCTGAATGAATAAACAGTCCAGGGTATCTTTTTATTGCATGGACTGTTGAAACTTAGCTTTTTTGGCATCAGAGTTCGAAATGTAGGGCGCCTTTCCACCTTATTATAATTTTGGATCAGTTTTAAGAGTGGGATTGTTTGTAATCAATCTTTCACAGTCACAACTTTTATTTTTAAAAGTTTTATTGGGGGGTCATAAACATATACCTTTGTTCATTATATTGCCCCCTCATTTGAAGTGAAGTCTAATGTTACTATATTATTAGGTTTAATTGCATGGCCGTGTGACTACAATTAACATTAAAAGCTTTTTAATTTTCTCATCTTACATTAAGTATACTTGGGGTTGTTGAAATATCTTAAAATCGAACAGTTATTGCGTAGTATACTAGATATAGATTTTTTTTATGAGCCTGTTTGGTCAGCTGATTATATATTGCTCAACACAATGTGACCAACTGTTACATCTGATTTATGAAAATCGCAACAACTTCAACCACCTCAACATTTATCCCATACTAATGAATAAAATCTGTATATTAATGACAAAAGGCATTGAATTTGAGCATAATGATTGTCCACTCTGGCTATTTACACATTTATTATGTCTTAGTTAACTGTGGGGATGGTGTGTTAATTTGTAGCATCAATAAGGGATAAAAATAACCCAGCTGACCAATATTCTCTTGAGATTTGTATTAGATAACACTCATATTGAGTTTTTCTTATCAGCTGCTTGCATTAATTAACTTGTATACTGTAATTATTTACTGAAGAATGTTCCATTAGTCCCAAAAGGATAAGGGAGAATATAGTTAGCAATTAGCACTTAAATTGCAGACCTAATGCAGACCAAGGAAAATAGCTTGCAATAGGAGTTGCACATGTTTCATGTGCACCTAGGAATAGCAGTTTCCCTTTTAGCCTTCTCAATTTCCTTCACCTTCTATGTTCATATCTTTTGATATAAGTATGATCCATTTAATTTATTCATTGGAAATTGCACAGACTAAAAGTAGTTCAGCTAGCAGACATAAGAAGCAAAATTGTTTCCATGAAGAATCAGTTCCATCACTTAATGCCCCCCAATTCTTATATTGGCATCTTATTCCTTCCAGTGGATCAATAGTCTGTAATGTCTATACAAAGACACACAATCCATTATATGTTAAATTAATCCAGATTCTATGGAGGTGAACAGGGGGACATTTGATTTATAGGGACCTTCACCGTATTTATCTCGAAGTTGAAGGATGTTTGATGCAATGCTATGTAGCATGACTGTATTGATTTGTCCCATGTTGTTGTAAAAATGATGAAAAACATTTCCTTTAGCTCCCGTTGAATAATGGATTAAAGAAATTGAGTTTTTGTGGTGAAATTTCAGCTTCAAATGAGAATTTCATGGAAACATTCAAACCCAGAACATTTTGCTTGTTTAAACATGTGAAAGAAGCAAATAGGGTGTATTAAGTAAAGACCAATGATGTCTAACATAAAACATACTTGTTGTACAAAAGTAGATACATGGCAAAGGAATGTATATCAAAATAGGAAAGCAAAATAGTGTGATTCATAAAATAATCATTCTGATTGTATGTTTACATCAAAATAGATACCATAGAACGTGCATAACTACACATATACATGTACCACATTTACGCAATCAGTGTTGTGT